AGCAAATTCATCAGTGATGTGCTGGCAAACAACTATACTTGCTTCAGGATGGGGGGGGGGGCTGGGGTGCACGAGAAGGATGTGGTCGATGTCTTGAGAAAAATTGATAAGAAGAGTTGGTAGTTGATGAGATAATCTTTTGGTGGGATAAGGAATGGTGGGATACAAAGGAGAACATTGATTAACAATAAATAGAATACTGGTGGGTTTGACAGACTAAAAGGTTGCAAAAATATTGTCTTCTAGTCAACCTTCAAGTTCATTGACAACTAAAATTGACAACATTACCACTGTCCCTAGTGATTTACTAAGAATGGATCTTTGGAGTCACCATCAAGCTTTAAACTTTGGCCTTCTGTTACTGTATATTTAACTTCTCTTGATACAATAGCACACCTGCAGAACAGCATACAAAAGTTATTGATTTATGGAGCCTTGTATTTTTCTCAAAACTTTTCTGTGACTGTAGAATTTTACAAAAAAATTCCAAAAACAATTGATCGCACAGGTTGAACTTTCCAAATGTCTAAAGGAAATAATTATGATATCTTCCTTTTGCACTCTGGACATCGTTAGCAATTTTTGCAACATTTTTCAATCATTTTGCTCCAAACATTAAGGATTTCCCAATTTTTTGTAATGAGTTCCATATCATAATATCAAACACAATTTTACAAACAGTCTTTAACTCAACTAACTACCAACTACAAACATGCGAAAATACATAAACAAGTTTTTGTTAAGAGATCAACTTCTGTGTAATATAGCAATGTGGATTGACACTTCATGTGAAAGGGCTACACAGTGACATTGTTTTTTTATTATGTAACTAAAGATTGCTTTCTTAAGACTTGTCACTGGAATACATGGCACATATGCATTTCTTCACACATTGGAAGGCTTTGCCAGGATCCATATGCAGGTGATAAGAAATCATATTGCCACCAATGCAAATGTAAATGCCAAAAGCTGATATTCATTTTTCAGGTGAGAGGGGGGGGGAGCAACAAAGTTTTTGTGGTTCAGATGTTTCTGCTTTAATCAGGGGCTGTGTGGTCAGGGGGCAGGGGGGCCATGGCCACCTCTGCTTTCAAAATTTGAGGGATTTTTGGAAAAATTGTTGTTTTGTCAGAAAATTCTCAGCTTGAGCTCTGGGTAATTCTCAAACTTTTGGCAACATAAAAATGATTTCTCAGTTTTTACAGATTTCTACCATAGAGTGATTTGCTGCTTGGATTTTGTCAGATAAAATACAAATCTTCAAGGGCCAATTTTGGTTATAGAAATTGGTCAATATTTGTCATAAATCATATCTTCATTTGATATTGAAGACTGGGACAGCGCCGGTTTGTGAAAATTTTGTCCTAGATTTGAAAATTTATGCAGTTATGTCGTGTAAGGTAAAGCAGGAAGAAGTCGATCAAAACCATCGCTTACCCACGGTGGATTTTCAATTTAAGAATAAAATTTGATCATCAAAATTTGCTTCAAATACTGCAATTTCTGGCAAATTTGAAGCAATAGGTTATGAAAAAGTTTCACCTTCCACAGCAACCATGTGGTCGCTTCAGGTATCAACTTCTTCTACCCTTGTCTTAAGCTACAGATGAGAGAACATTCACTGTCAGTATGAAGAAACAGCGACAAGACAAAAAAATGCATTTTAAATATCTTTCCAGCCAAGGCAAAAGTTAAGAGTCTTTCTGCCCTGACTCTGCAAATGCTTCTATCTGAGTAAAATAAATCAAAGAAATTTTGTCAAAAAATCTTTCTTTCTTCTCCACTCTAGAATTCATTGGCCACGATACCCCTTGCTGCAATTGCTCAAGCTACTAATGAACTATAAAACAGATTTTGAGTTTTAGATCTGAGTGTGTAACTTTGTGGCTTAACAAATTCCCTAAGGGATGTCAGCCAATAATTTACCATCAAAATTAGGCTTTGCTGGTAATGTAATGGTCTTTGATGTGGCATTTGAATGTGTGTGTATTTACTTGTTTTACATTGATTGTTTAATTCTAGTGCACTATATACAATTTTACTTGTACAAAGCAAACTAATCCGAATTGATAAATTACTAAATATGGATGGATGAATAAATACTTAAATTAACATGAATAAATATTTTTACAGTATTATACTTAAAATGATATATAAAAGATAAAATGTAAAATACATGCTGACATGCGTTGCGTTTACAGTTTGGACCATTCCACTTTTTTATCTAGCATTTGAAGATATTTAAATCTTCTGCCTATTTTATTTTGTTTGGTAGCCCATTCCAAATTTGGTTTGTTCTATAATGTTGTAAATCATTTGAATTTGTTGATGAGTAAGTTGAGGATCTATATTTTCAAAGTTTTTTCATGAAAGACGGGTTTAGATTTTCAATGTCTTGAAAATTTCAATGCAAACTGCTCTCATACGGGAAACATGCATTGTAAAATTTTCTGAATTCACAAGTAAGTCACTATAAGAGGTGAATCGATCATTATATAAAAATCTGAGGACACCTTCTTGGATTTTTTCATTTAGATAAGGTGAACATTATTCATCAAAATCTAAAAATACTTTCAGCCAGTATATAAGGGTAGTGGGAAAATATATTACCACAAGAAACACTTTATCATGGAGAAAAATTGCCAAGCATCAAAGCAGAAAAATAGTTTTGTTGTCAATAAAATACAGGAAGTGTGTGTGTTGATATTGTAGCATTGTTGGGTTAAGGATTCCCATGTTTTCTTGAAAAAAATGCTCTAATAGATGATAGCCCGCATGTTAAAAAGAAAATGACGCAATTCACAAGGCTGGGGAACAACCGTTC